ATAGGTAGACAAGCCAAAATAATAAAATACTAGCTGGCCGACGAGGCCGCGACTGAAGACATACATGCCTACATACCTATATATACATGTCAAGCCTATAGGCTGGAGACTGAAAGCAGCAAAAAAGAAACCCAGAATATTGTGTCCACAATAGCCTCTAAGAGTGTTATAAGCACTGTCGGGATAAGGCCCCAACTATACCCAAACTGTACAACAAAAGTAACCATCCTATGAAAGCTCCAGGAAGAGGTGGAGCTTACCAACTCACAGCTGAACCCCGAAATCCTAGCGGAGGGGTCGATCAGAGTCCTTACCTGCACCTGCACGCACGAAACAAAAATGCATTGTCCCCAGGAAATGGGACATCAGTACGAATAAAAATGTACTGGTATGTAAGGCAGAAAGTAGAATCATACATAGCTGATGTAAAAAGGTAATAAAGATACCACCTGACACTGAAACTCTGATAGCCTCCATGGCCGACATCCGACCTCATAGTAATAAAATATGCATGGTATGCTCGTGTAATCGTATGTCGTGAATACATATATATTGATGTAAATGCATGACATACCCAACCAAATGCTAGCAATGGCGGTCTCTCCCGGTAGCTAACCGGTATCATATTGCCAACCTGTGGCCATCTGTACAATATATATAGTCTTTCGGGCAAATAGGCCCCTTACCTCCGATTATAGCTCGAAGTCCATGCATAATATGTCATGTATGATATGAACTTTGAATGCACATAATAGGCCATAACAAGAACTTAGCCAACCTTGGCTCATTGGTACTCTTATTCTCATAATCTCATAATCACCTTCGTATCGCATACAAATGTCTCGTGGAACCTCATATCTTTTTTAATAAGTTTGAAAACTTAACTCGACTTTTAGAAAGATAACTTAACTCTGAATATGTTCATAAAAAGCTTAAGGTGCTTCACTTAGTCCTTATACCTGATTTCTTGATAATTAGTAAAAGAAAGTATTTCAAAAAAAATCAAATGTTTTAGTAGTTTAAACATAAAAATTATATTTGAGAATTTTGAAATCGACGTGTCACTTTAGAGATTTTAAAATACACTTTAACAAGGAAGAAGGACTGATCGCAAATACTAAATGCCTTTATTTTTAAGTCACACAACCCAAAGACGAATAAGAATTCATATATATGGACATATATTTAAGAAAGCCGACAAAATGACATATATAGATGTCGAATACCCTTTTTAACCGAACGAGTGGAATATCAACCTAATAGCATCATGAAAATACTTCAGCTACGATACCAATGCCTTTCACAGAAGGTCTTTCTAGCAATAGAATAGTAAACTATCACATTTGGCGTCTTAGGAATTTTTCAAAATTCGTGCTAAAAGGAAGGACGAAGCTTAGCCTTAACATACCTCTCCAACGAACGTCCGAATGACTGTAGTTCCTTCACGAAAGTTGTTCCTTACGTCCTAAGCTTCGAAACCACTATATATATACAGCTTATACGCACTTATAAACAGTTCATAAATAAGTTTAAATCGGCAGATTTGCCATATGACCCTAACTTGACGAAACGCCCGTAGAACTTTGTAAAAACGATCATAAAAGAGTCCCGAGATGATTACCTTGGCATACCAAGTATAAATCCTGAAGAGCCAGCAAGAACAATAATTTCTTATCTTCCAAAAATAGCTCCAAACACAGCTAATAGAAGGGGAAAACGATTGCAAAGCGTAGAGATTGCGCTTCTAGGCACGGGGGCAAACTTTAACGATAGAAATCGTTAAAAACGCACCTTAATCACTCAAGAACACCATGAAACCCTCTCTTAAGCTTTCTCACTATTTTGGGACGAAGATGAAATATTTTGGGGTCTTAAAAGTCGGATTTTCTGACTTATATCACTTATTTGACCTGACCCGGTTCGCGACCCGATTTCAGCCCGGACAGTCCGCGGTTAAACAGTCATAACCTTTTACTCCAATGTCGGTTATATTTGGAGAAACGATCTGATACATTTGACCCAAAGTTTAGAAAATTTATTAGAGAAATTTACGATAACTTTTGCCGACCTTTATTTCGCAACTTNAGAAATGATCTGATACATTTGACCCAAAGTTTAGAAAATTTATTAGAGAAATTTACGATAACTTTTGCCGACCTTTATTTCGCAACTTGCTTGACTCCAAAACTTAACATGTGACCAGTGTGATATTATAATACCTCATAACACATTATTCTTAGCATATTATACACTCTTAGTCTTATCCCACAGGTGCAAGTTAACTTAAACCTTCCGAACGCCCGGGGTGCTACCCGAGCCATTTCTTTAACCATGAACCTTTGTTTAAGGGATTCCTTTGACTTAAAGCTTTAGTTTAGTTCCTTGATATTACCACACATTTTCAGTCTTATTCTCCCAATATGCTATACCCAATCATATATACCTAATATAATTACGTCACGTTACGTATATTACGTAAGAGAAGAGAGAAACACCTGGGGTCTCACATAAGCAAAGAGCAAACCATTCCAGATTGTAGGCGAAAAAGGGTCATCTTTCTTGATGATTCAGAGTAAATTCATTGTAAGTCATCAATTTATATGCATGTAGAGTGGAACCAGAAGTCTAATGAAGTCAATAAAAATGATATTACTAAACGTAAACAGCATCACTAAAAGACAACAGAGTAAAAAAGGCAGATCGAGAACAGAGGTGCTCTATTTCTTGAAAATAGATAGAGAGACAGTCCATTCAACTACTACTACTACTGCCAAAAATAGTGAAGCCTAGTTAAAGGAGAATAGTATCTTCCTAAACCACTTGCCTAAAGAAAGTTAGCAAACTGTACTTCAATTTGGCAAGCCAACAATATGACCACCGCATTGAGCACCTTAGTTGTCGAACAATGTTATATCACTGTCATTGTCATCATTAAAGAAAATATAGCCTACATCAATTGTTCTCTGCCAGAGTCCTACTATGAAACTGATTAATAGTAGCAGCATCTGGTACACTTTCAAATACATCATTTTTCGCATAACAAACTAAACAATCACTGAAAAATTCTTCATTAAATTTTTTGCACATTTCATTCTTGATGTTTCTCACCCAAGAGAAGGATCTTTCAACACTTGGACCAGCATCGAGAAGAATCAAAGTCAACTTCAAAAGCAAATAAACAAGTGGCCATGTTAAATCCAATTTTGTTTCAACCAACGCCTTGAAAAGATCACCAAGTCCCTTCAAGTTTGAGAACCTATTGTCAGATTGTCGCATGTAAACAATGTAATCATCAAGCTTGCTACTGAGTTCTTGAAACTTGTTGTCACCAAATTCATTTGGATAATATTTTGCTAATCTCATTATCTTGTCCTTGTCATAATTAGCAAAAGAATTTACTGGACTCAGACTAGCAATACCAAGAAGTAAATCATTATTCACTGTATCAAAGCACCTGTCAAGCTCCTGCAACTGCGAATCAATAGTAGCATCAAAAACTTCCACACGCAAGTGATGTGAATATGTGACGGTAGAGACCTTGCACTTCAACCTTCTAGGTAAAACATAAAGATCGTCCATTTTAGGAATTAAAATGTCATGTTTGACACAAAATGAAGAGACGTCATCCATCAGATGTTTCCATTCACCATCTCTCATCATTTGAAATTGTCTCTTTGTCGTGCCAACAAGTTTCATCGCATTTACAATTTCTTGATCTTTTTTTTGTAAAACTATGTCCAACTCCTTTGTGATCACCAGTACTTTCAACATAAAATGCAGCATATAAATGATTGTAGATCTCCAGAAGATCTTCTGCCCATATTCTCTCAGGAGAGCGTAAACTTGCAATAACTTCTAATACATGAACAACTGATGAAAATATAGTAATGACGCTAAGCAATGCTTTAAAATGAGATTCCAAAGGAGCATCACCTAATCTTTCAAACTCATACTTCTGACTGGAGTCTCGCCAAGTCAGAACTTTACCAAAATTAAGCAATTCTTTCAATTTTTCATCTTGATTTTCTTGTGAAATAGTTTGGCGCTCAAAAGAAGCTCCTATCACATTCAGCATAAAAGTGAGTATAGCAAAAAATCGACCAACATCACATTGTCTTTTAGCAACGGTTACAAATGTGAAATGTAGTGGTTGGGAAAAGCAATGAGTGCAATTCGCCGACGGGTTATCTTGCAAAATCAATGTCTTAAGACCATTGATCTCTCTTTGCATGTTAGTATCTCCATTATAACCTTGTGCACGCATCTTAGATATACTCAATGAGTAACCCATAAGCAAAGAATCTACTTTTTCTTTCATAGATTGTGCAGATTGATCAATAACTTGAATAATACCAATGAAACGTTCCATCAGAATACCCTTTTTGTCAACATACCGCAAAATAGTTGTCACTTCTTACTCATCACAGACACCCTCCCATTTATCGACTAATAATCTAAAATAATCTCCACTTAAGTCTTCAACAATGGTTTTAATAGTTTCCTTTGCACAAGCATTCACAATGTCTTTCAGGAAACTTGGGGCAATCATGGTTCGATGCATTTCAGCATTTTCTAGTATAACTCTTCCCACATCATGAACAATGTGATGCCCGTAAAATTGCAAAAGCGCCTCAAAATTACCTTCTCTTTCCAAAAGTTTTTTCTCTTCATCGGCCAAAAATGACCATCCATGTTTTAAAATGAACCTTGCGACATCAATTGAAGTATTTAAGAGAATTAGATACTCACTTTTGGCTTTCTCAGAGTCATTATAATTAGCTAAGTTCAAAAGAGCAAAATGACTGAAATCAGTATCACTATGATCTTCTGGAGATGGTGGTAAATTTGCTAATGTAGAGCTGGAGTTAAAACTGGATGAGGCCGATCTAATCCAATTCTCGTTATATTTATCCATCTCGACAGTAACTTCCTAGAAAATAGGAGTTCAATCATTCAGACAACTATTTCAAAGATATTCATCAATCACATTTGATAATGAATAATTCAAAGACTTATTTCAAAATATTCAAATTTAATAGTACAATTTATTATCAACAATAAACCACTAAATGAGTAATTCGTTGCTCCTAGTTGTGTATACGGCTTCTTCCTTGCCATATCTTTGACATCATTTAAAATACTAAAACAATTCAAGTCCTTTTAGCTTTCAACCACTCTTTTCGGATTTTTCATAAAATAACAGGTAATAATTGTATGATTTTTGTACAAAAGAATAACCCGATTCACCCTAGAGTTCTACCAAGAGGGAAAAATAGGATAATATTGTTTACAAAAGTTCATGCATTCAGAGATAAAAAAAAAAATAAACTTGCAGTTGACTAAACACAACCTACCAACTCAAAGAAAAAAAACCCTCTAAAGATAGAGAAACTATAAAAAAAAATACTCGACATTTTCCAGTAATTGAAAAACAGAATTACTTTACCAAGAATCGGAATGTAGACTAAACGAGCAAGCAGAATTACAGTACCAAATCGAGCTAGGTGGCTGAAGAAGTAGTACTTCTCTTTGCTGCTTCCCCACCGTTGTGGACTACTTTTGCTTGTTTCTTTGCTTTTTTCCAATTGACTAGGGTTTTATTCCATCCTCTATTCTCCCACTCTCTTTTTTCTTTCTTTTCCCCTTTTCTTACTTACTCCGTTTTTGTAAATTGTTTTGACTTGACTCTTGAGTAGTGCATCAAAACCCTTAATTGATGCGAAGTGAAATTGAAGCTGCTTCAGAAGTGATACCTTGGGCTTGCATAGTAGTACATGTAAGTTAAGTTAGTTAAATAGGCAAGGGAGTTATAGTTCAGGTTAAGTGCAAATGAGTCACATACTAGTTTAAGTATAACTTTGAGGTATTTATACATTAGTCCTGTTAGATATTAATTTTAATTACTTATAGTCCAATAGAGTTTGTTATGCTAGCTTGTCTTTCAGCTGATAGTGGAAGCATATACCCCTCTGTATTCAGACACTAAAATTATCAATTGAAGAATTATCATTTATTTTCTAAGTCTTCTTCTTCTTAGCTCTAGATTTTCTATTGAAACCCTAGTTGTCGCAACAGTGGTATCAGAGCAATTCTTCGACTCTGTGGATAAATATTAACGGAGATGAATGAAGTGATGAATATGCTGCAGAAGATGTCTATTGATATGTCCAGCTTCGTATCTAGACAGAACTAGCTTGAAGCTAACCACGAATAAAGCTGTATAAATCAGGAAGAAGCTCTGAGCGAAATTAGAGAGGTACTCAACGAGGTCATTCATGGAGGCAAGAAACCTGAACGAGACAAGAATGTGAGCTGCACTGGAGAGGAGTTGTATTCTCCAAACGATAAACCCTTCGAGTTTGGTGAGTTAGCTACCCCCTCCACCGCCGGAATTAGCGATTCTATAGGGGTCAGTAGGAATGTGGTGTCAACTACTTTCCCTATTATTAATGAATCAATACAAGCATCGCGACTCCCTCAACAAGCTGGTTCTAGCCACTCTTCCTCAATACCAATTATCGACAGACTTATTGCCCCAAACAACCAATTCCAATCACCCATGAACTAACCCACACCATTTCACACCCAAAGCTTTCAGCCAACTCCCTCATCACTAATGAGAACTAACCAGATTCCTCCACAACCCTATATTGGTCCACCTGACTTGAGCAGACCTTAACACACAAGCCAAAATCTGCTTCAAGGAACCTTCATCAATAACCAAATACTTTACCATTACCATGGCAATAACATGCCTTATCCTCCAGCTTATAACTCACCAAACACTCATATGCCACCTTCCTTATATCATCAACATCCTTATGTACCACAACCACCAACACTACCACCCTATCAAAACACACATGCAGTTAATACTCAACAAATAACCCATAATAACCATACTATTCCCTTACCTAGAATTCCATTCACCAAATACTCTAAAGTCGAATTTCCTAAATTTGATGGTGAGGATCTGAGAACCTGGCTGTATAAGGTAGACCAGTTCTTTGTTGATGAAGAAGTCACTATACAACAAAGAATGAAGTTGGTGTCCCTACATTTTGAAGGATATGCACTTTAATGGCACCTGGGTATATGAGGATTATAGGACAATTGCTATTGCCTAGCTGGGAGGAGTATATCTGGGCTATATGTGATAGCTTTGGTGCTGAGTACTCAGATCCAATGACAGAAATTATGAACATCAAGCATACAGGCACTGTAAAGGAATATCAAAAGGCTTTTGTTGGGGTAATGGCTAGACTAGATATCTCAGTAGAACATGCCATCAGCATTTTCCTGCATAATCTTAAGCCAGAGTTGAGTCATGTAGTTAAGGTGGGGAATCCAGACATCTTACCTCAAGCATACTACCTGGCCAGGCTCCATGAGGCCAGTTTTTCTACTTAAAGAAAGTCTATCAAGACCTCATAATCAGGAGTTTCTTGGAATAAAGGGCACAGCTCAGGGAATCTGCAAAGAAACAGTAACAATGTTCTCATGAGACCTATCACAACTAATCTAGAAATACAAAAAGAAGGAGACTCACTGATGCAGAAATGGAGGAAAAAAGAGCCCAAGGACTATGCTTCTTCTGTGATGAGAAGTATGTAGCAGGACACAAATGTCAAGCAAAAAGGCAGCTGTTTCCTTAGAATTAGAAGGTGTTGGAGTGATAGAAGAAGAATAACATGAGAAGGAGCCAATAGTGGAGGAAGAGGAAGAGAAAACAATGGCAGTGGAACCTCTGGAGAACTGTGCAATATCACTACAAGCCTTGAATGGAATAATGGGGTACCAGACACTAAGACTTAGAGGGTTTACAGAACAACAACATCTGGAGATATTCATAGACTGTGGATCCATACACAATTTTATAGATCAGGATACAACAAAGAGACTTGGGTGCAAGATTAGCAAAATAAAACCTCAATTAGTACAGGTTGCAGATGGAAGAGAAGTGCCAACATATAGCATATGCGAAGGATTCCAGTGGTTGAGGCAAGGAGCTGTGTTTCAGGATGACTTCTTAGTGTTTTCCATTGGAAAAAGTGATGTAGTTCTTGGTATCCAATGGTTATAACCCTTGGAGGACATCAAGTTCAATTTCAGAAAGTTGTTGATTGAATTTGAATACAAGGGGAAGTTGCTTATCTTAAAGGGAGTACAACCTAATTTCAAGACTGTTAAGGCTAAGTCACTAGAGAAAATGGTATTTGAGGGAACACAATTCTTCATGATTATGGTTCAGGAAGCAGAAGCTAAGGTTTCTAAGATAAAGGAGAGTAAGGTAGAAGAGCAACTTGTAAAAGTTAGAGAAGTGCTTGATAAATATGCAAAGGTTTTTGGGGAGCCAACCCAATTACCACCTTCCAAGGGGGGTTTTGAACATTACATTCCCCTATTAGAAGGCACAGCACCAGTAAATTCAAGACCCTACAGATACTCACCCCTCCAAAATGATGTCATTGAGGCTATGATTAACGAGATGCTGAACCAAGGAATTATCCAATACATTTCAAGTCCTTATGCATCACATGTAGTACTAGTGGGGAAAAAGAATGGCTCTTGGAGATTATATGTAGATTATAGAGCGTTAAACAAGGCAATTGTGAAGGATAAGTTCCAAATTCCAATCATAGAAGAGTTACTAGATGAACTAGGGGATCTCAGGTTTATTCTAAAATAGACTTAAGGGCAGGCTATCACCATATAAGAATGGCAACCTCAGATATCCCTAAAATAGCCTTCAAAACACACTTTGGTCATTATGAGTATTTGGTCATACCATTTGGCTTGACCAATGCACCCTCAATCTTCCAAAGACTGATGAACCACAACTTTCAGGATCACCTCAGAAAATTCATTCTAGTCTTTTTTGATGACATTTTGATCTTTAGCAGGAGTTTGAAGGAAGACATACAATATCTCAGGATGGCATTTCAATTACTTGTACAATATCAGATATTGGCCAAGAAGAGCAAGTGCGTCTTTGCTTCTAAAAGAGTAGAGTACCTAGGACATTATATCTCAGCACAAGGGGTGTCCATTGATCCCGGGAAAGTGGAAGCTGTGAGGTCCTCGTCTGAGCCACAGTCTATGACATAATTGAGAGGAATTTAGGGCGTTGTAGGGTACTACAGGAGGTTCATCAGGGTCTATGGGGTCATTAGCAAATCTCTCACTGACATGCTTAAAAAAGACAGCTTTGTATTGAATGAAGAGGCCAAAGAAGCTTTCAAACAACTTAAGAAGGCATTAACTACAACACCAGTCCTAACTCTCCCAGATTTTTCCCTAATGTTTGTGGTCGGGACTGATGCATGCAACATGGGCATTGATATTGTCTTAATGGAAAAAGGACACCCTATTACATTCCTTAGTAAGGGTCTCTCCAAAAGACATCAATCTTTGTCTGTTAATGAGAAGGAATTATTGGCTTTAGTGCTAGCTGTGAATAAATAGTCACAGTATCTAACGGGTAGACCCTTCATAGTAAAGACAGACCAAAAGGCTCTCAAGTTCATATTGAAGCAAAAGTTACACAAAGGAACTCAACTCAATTGGATCACTAAGCTCATGCAGTTTGACTTTGAGATTGAGTACAAGAAAGGGAAGGAAAATAAAGCAGATGATGCTTTATCAAGACTTCCTCTGGTCAAATTGGCTGCAATGACACTGTCAACTATGAAAACTAACCTATTGAAGTTGATAATGAAAATCTGGGATAATGATGAAGAATTAACAACATTAATTCAGGCATTAAAGGAGAAGGGAACTGAGATTACCAATTACACCTTCATCTGCGATCAACTAAGAAGGAAGGAAAGACTGGTAGTAGGTCCTGATAAACAACTGAGAAAGGATATACTACAGCTTTGGCATGACGCCCCAGCAGGAGGGCACTCGGGCATTGACAATACTTACAGAAGATTAACAACACTTTTCTGGTGGAAGGAAACGAGAGAAGAGGTTCAGAACTATGTGAAAACATGTGATATATGTCAAAGGCATAAATATGATAATGCTCCTTATCCTGGGCTATTGCAGCCTCTCAAGATTCGAGCAGCAGTATGGAGTAGTATAAGCATGGATTTCATAGAAGGGTTGCCTAAATCAAAGGGAAAAACTGTGATTTGGGTGGTGGTAGACAGACTCACAAAATATGCCTATTTCATTAGTCTTTCCCATCCTTACTCTGCTCATGATATAGCTAAACTCTTCATGGAAAATATTTACAAGCTGCATGGGGTGCCAAAAGACATTACCAGTGATAGAGATCCAATTTTTACCAGTAAGGTCTGACAGGAACTGTTCTCTATGATGGGAGTAACTTTGAACATATCTACTGCCTACCACCCCAAACAGATGACCAGACATAAGTGGTAAATAGATGTCTAGAGACTTATTTGAGGTGTTTTTGCTTAGACTTTCAGACTGATTGGGCTCAATTCCTGGTATCAGCTGAATGGTAGTATAACACCACCTTCCATATCTCAATTCAGAGTACACCTTGTGAGGCTTTATATATGTAAGTGGTGATTCAAGATTAGAAGAGATAGATATAAGTCTGCTGACTCGTGAATTAAAAGGATAACTACTAAGGTATCATCTTAAAAGAGCACAACAGAGGATGTTGGCTCAAGCCAACAAGCATATGTCTGATAGACAATTTAAAGAAGGAGATTGGATTTACCTAAAAATTCAACCATACAGACAAATTTTCATGTCGGATAAATATTTTTCTAAGTTATCTTCTAGATACTATGGACCTTACCAGGTCCTACAAAAGGTAGGAGTTGTAGCTTATTAACTGTCACTTCCTCCTCAACTTCTCCTACATCCAACCTTCCACGTCTCCCAACTCAAGTCCTACCATGAACTCCCAGCAACCATTTCTCATCCCTTAGTTATAGACCTGTCAAGCCCATATTGTCCACAACCTGAGAAGATTTTGGAGGTGTATGATTCAAAAAGGAAACAAGGCAGTAGCTCAAGTTTTAATCCAATGGAAGCAATTACCTGTAGAGTCTGCTACGTGGGAAGATTATCAAGCTCTGAAGATGCGCTTTCCTGCCTTTCTTCCGTGAGGACAAAGAAGATGTTAACAAGGGAGAACTGATGCGAAGTTAAATTGCAGTTGCTTCAAAAGTGATACCTTGGACTTGCGCAGTTGTACATGGAAGTTAAGTTAGTTAAATATGCAAGGGAGTTATAGTTCCGGTTAAGTGCAAATGAGCCCCATACTAGTTTAAGTATAAGTTTAAGGTATTTATACATTAGTCATGTTAGATGTTAATTTTAATTACTTATAGTCCAATAGAGTTAGTTATGCTAGTTTGTCTTTTAGCTGATAGTGTAAGCATATACCCCTTTGTATTCACACACTGGAATTATCAATTGAAAAATTATCATTTATTTTCTTAATCTTCTTCTTCTTAGCTCTAGATTTTCTCTTGAAACCCTAGCTGCCGCAACATTAATCCATTTCAAAAACACAAATTTTTCACTAAAATTAACTATTATAGCAAATTCAACAATTTTAAGTTTATCGCGGAGTAGCATTCTTCGTTCATTGCAAAGTAGAAGATGTGATTGAGGTAGTGCTCAAAAACAAAAATTTGGATATTATATTTGTTAAACCCTTAAAATGGATAACAATTAAATTTGTATGCGATTTAAAGGATATGTGGTTTAATTTAATATAAATGATCAAAGAACAGTAAATAGTTGAACTGAAATGAGATAAAACGATCAAACCAAAGTGACGTAGTAATTAAGCCTTGTATATTGAAGAACACTTAACACAATTGATGAGAGCCAAAGTAAATTTTATTGCGTGTTATGCAACAGTCCATAGAAAATGATGGGGTCCTCCTCTTTATATAGTAGAGGAGATCCAACCCCAATACAAGTCTAAATAAGGTAAAAATCTTTTCTTCCTTTTTTCCCACGAAAATAAGATCTGCAACCAATAGCGAGCGTGATTTGCACCGCAATACCCGTCTGATGGAGGATATTTTGGCTCCTCGTTTGCCTCCTTTAACCGCCTTTTCTTTACTCTCGATTCTTCATCTCACTCGAGCTTGATTTCCTTCGGGTTCAGCCGTGCTCGAGACCCGTTATATCATTCGTCCGTTCTTGGTTTCGATATGTAGGTGTCATAGGTCTCACCCGAGCCAGTAACTAGCAACATCGTTCCTCGTTTCATAACAGGAAATCGGGGTAACTCTATCCTCGATTTTACTCGTGTACAATGTTATATTTTAACAAATATATTTTTAATGGACATATTCAAGATAATTGAAATTTATAGTAAGGTTAGTGTTTATATACGATTCAGCCTTACTACATTAAAGAGATCATTCATAGTAGTATTTGATTTCAACATTTACTAGTTTAAAAAAATAATATTTTAATATGATACGACACAATTTAAATTTGAATGTGTTGAAGATAAAAATTTGGGCTTACCATTCAGCTGCAACTTTAGACAACGTCATCTGGTATCAATTCCCACCACTTTCTTTCAGTTTAAGTCCAATGAGTTTTTATCTTTTAACATGATTTGATGTGCAAAATAAATAGAATACACAATTGAAAGAATATTTTGTCAAAAGGATGTAATACAAATTGGATGCAGGTCTATATATGGGCGCGTGCTTGATATAAGTTCGCGAGTACTTTTGACTTCTCATACTCGCCAAAGTCTCTTAGAATTCTAGAGAACCAAGTTCATGATCTGACATAGGATAAAAGATACACATCAATAACATAGCAAAGTTTTTTCTTTACATCACTTGTCGTATATGGTGAATGAATAAAATGAATTCAGTGAAGCAGTCTCTTGAAGCACAAAAGGAAATTACTATATACATGGATATATATTACATAGATATATACATATTCACTGGAGTATCCCTCCCCTCTCCCAATATAGAAAAGGTAGAAAATCATATGTTTCAAATGCTTCCTCAAACCAAACAAATATTTAATTTCCATGTCACAATTTAAATTAGCATTGCTAAGATAAAATTAATTTATGTGGAACTATCATTAATAGTTGGATAGAATAATACACTTCCAATCGGTTCGAAGAGAAAAGGATATATACAGAACCATATATAAAGGTTCACTTCCCCCCTCCACGTATATTGGAGCGAGAACGAGCGATTTTTTTAAATATAGGACTGACTCACTCACCTAGTAATACGGTGGATTAATAACTTTAAACCGAGATGATGTAAAAGCTGAATGTTAGGAACGTGGAGGTGGCAGAGATGGAGATGGTGGATATGGTGCCGGAGGTTGAATTACAGTTCTATGGAGATGGTGGTGATTTAGACTGATGTGGTCGAGGTGGTGATACAGATTGAGGTGGTGGTGGCTTAAAATAATGCGGTCGAGGTGGAGGAAAACGATGTGGTGGTGGCTTAAAATGACGTGGTGGAGGTGGAGATGATCGAGGTGGTGGTGGTTTGTAATGGCGCGGAGGTGGTGGAGATAGTAATGGTGGAGGTGGTGATCTATATTTGGGAGGAAGTGGTGGGGATGGAGATGGAGGTGGAGGTGGAAATGGATATGGAGATGGAGACGGAGAGACAGACGGCGATGGAGGTGGAGGTGGAGGTGGAGATGATCGAGGCGGAGGCGGAGGCGGAGATGGAGACGGAGAAGGAGGTGGAGATGATCGAGGTGAAGGCGGAGACGGCGATGGAGGTGGAGGCGGCGGCGGAGATGGAGACGGAGAAGGAGGCATAGAAGGTGGGATCAAAGGAATTGGAGGCAGAGGTGAAAGTGGAGATAGAGATGGTGAAGCTGAAGGTGATGAAACCCGTAATGATTCGTAACTGTGTGGAGGTAATGAAATGGCATTTATGGATAGCACATAATCTAAAGATACACCAGCGGCTATAAAGCAAGAAGTTAAAGCAAAAACAACATGGAACCACAGGACAAAATATTGTGGGATTCTCATAGTTCTATGCTTATAACTTTGATTGTATTTAGCAAGGTTCAAGAAGGGGTTGGCTTTATATATGGAATATAATACTCCAGTAACAAAGGCATGGATGTTCGTTTAAAACTCTCAAACAATTCCTTATAAAACTAGTTTAATTGTCACTCATTTGATTCGTGTCTCCTTATAAATTCTTTCCTCTTTTTTTTTTTTTTGGTTATATGTATTCGACAGAGTAATTTGATTATTCTTTACCTTTTTTCCATTTAAAGAGACAGTAAAATAGCTTTAAAGTTTCATATATGTAGGCAAAGGCATTCTGTTAATCACATTGAAGGAATGAAAAGGCAGACCAATGTCTAATCAATTATCACTTCTCAGGATGCTCATTTTCTTTTTGTTTTATTTTCTTTAATTATGTGGGTCAAAAATGAAACATCTCTTACTATTAAGTGTGTTTAGCCTTAAAAATGGATAACAATTGAATTTATACACAGTTTTAAGAATATGTGGACTAATTCAATACAAGTTATTAATAGCATTAGATGAGCAAATTAAAGATGGGATAAATGGCCAAACCAGTAGTAAGACCGAGTTCGAGTTCGATTATGATCCAAACAATTAGCATATCTTCGATTTGGAACCAAACACCTATGAAGGGCTTTGAACAAAACTAAGAACTTAGAATAATCTTTAGAAGCAGAGGAAACAAATGTATATTGCCTCGATATGTGTGTTATAGTGTCCCTAATAAAGTTTTACCCCAAGTACAATTCTAAAATAGGTAAAAATCTTTCTTTTCGCTAATCACTGATCTACCGCTGATACGAGCCGGGATTCACGCCGTGATATCCCTTTTTTAATCGTGCGTGGTCGTTTAGTAATTCTCCCCGAGGTCTTGGAACTCAAACCGGACCCGGGGGCGTGGTCTCGATGGCTCCGAGGGCATGCGTTTTTCTCGGGCCTTGATGCGAGAAGCTCCTGGCTTCGATTTTAATTCCTTGCAGTCATGTCCTTACTTCGTTTGCCTCACCGGAAAATCGGGGTACTCATTGGCCTCGGTTTACCCGTATACAGATAGTCTCCTCATTTCTCAGAGAGTAGGTTTGCCAAAAAGATGGGAAACGATTCTCTGGTTCCTTCCTCTATACGTTACAACGAAGGAGCCGAAACGTCCCAGCAGTCGCGTCGTTCTGACTTCGGATACATGTCAATCATCGACTGGTTGCCCCCAAATGCGAAGTGTCGCCTACTTTCCTATAAAAGCTTCCATCATTTGTTCTTTTTCTACTTTTCGACTAAGCTTTTACCTTCGAGCTTCCCAGCCATCATCAATTCTTTCAAACCTTCATACTTTCATCTTTTGATCTTCAAATCTTCATAATAGTTCTTAGATTCTTGTCCAGGTGTTCTTAAATTCTTCATATCCCTATGTTCAGCCTTCAAACTTATTCTTACAAACCTCCATACTTCTTCTTCAAATCTTCCAAATCTTACCAGCCAACAATAAATAAAACTTCCAAGTGAGTTGCCCAACAGGTTGCCTCTTCATCTTCCCAACTGGTTGTTGGTACTAAGGCGGTCGATCCTGAAATAGTTGTCCTCGAGGCGGCTGCTCCCGACGTGGCTGTCACCGAGTCGGCAGCCGCCGAATCGGCTCTCGAGTCCCCTTTGAAAATATTTATTCCCGGGGGTTATTCTTTTGCGGATGACTTTAAGGTTGAGAAACCCTCGTCCAAGCAGGACCGGGGTGAAGGAGAATCAAGGTACATATGCTCCATGACCAAAGACGTACTTCCCGTGATCCGAGGGGACTTTAATTGGGGAGGTAAGGACGTGGTAGTCCCCGGGTCCGAAGACGCTATTACTACCTACGTGGAGGGGTACTTAACTGTTTACACTTTTCCCTTTACACTGGGTCTGGTGGACCCAGTTGTTTAGATTTTTGTAAGATATACGAGGTGTGCTTGGGGAAAATCTACTCGTCTCTGTGGAAGATTGTGATCCTCATTCGCTACTTCGTGAATAAGACCGAGTCTCATCGGTTCACCATCGATCATCCACTCCATTTAAACAGTCCCGGAATCTTCCGGGGGGGACTAATCAATCTTACTCGCTGGGCCACCAAGGCCCCCTTTTCGAGCATTGATGAAGACCGAGACTAGGTCTGGCAGGGAGGCTTTGTTTGGGTGAAGATCGAAGACTTGATTCCTCCCGAGTTCATGCCATTCCCTGAGAAGTGGAATGCATCTCGTAAATGCAGCCTCTCCTTAAGCGTCAATATTTCTTCATTTTCTTTCCTTTCATTCACTCTTGTGATTGTGCAGATGTTGCCCGGGTTCCAAATGGGGTCCCCCCGGCTTAAGGAGTGGATCGAAGGCATCTGCAAACAGATGCCATACTTCGAGCTCTCATGGTGCAACTTTTCGAAGGGCCGGTAGGAGGCCCGTTCTCATAGTAAGGTTCCCCTTCAAATAGTTGTTATCGTGTCCTTAGCTCATCACATACTGACTTTTATCCTCTTTTTCTCTCTTTTTTATATAGGTTTGCCTAAGACCGTCGAGCTTAGGCCTTTGGAAGGGGACGAGGACGTGTCCGTTGATCCATCTATTACAGGACAACCTAGGGCTGCCGCGGGGGAAAAAAGAAAATTATAAGAAAACCTTCGGGCTCCTAGGGCCCTGAGATGAAACCAAGAAAAGGGTGGCTCACAAGCCCAGGAAGAGCACCAGCTCCCGGGTGCAAGATTCCAATTCGCTTCTCCGACTCAGAGATGAGCCGGAAGAAGACGATATTTTCATTGCCCATAGATCGAACCCTCCCGGGGAGCAGGAGACAGCGGAGGGGGAGAATCGAGAGGTCGATATGAAAACCGGGGGTGGGACCCTCCGGGAAGCCAGCTCCGCTCCGAAGGAAGCACCCGGTATAATAGAAATTGCTAGGACGCCTTCCTACACCGAGTCCATGCTCGAGGAAGCCCAAGTAGGGAAGGAGAAGTCCAATGAAGGGATACATCGTCGGAAGCTGGTGGGCCGAGTTCGAGCCCAAAACTAGTTAATCAGTTCCCTGCTCTAAGTGTGGACCCCGATTGCAGGAGATCGGTTATCCTCACTGTTCCTAAGGATGCCCAGGTTTTATCCGCTCTTGTGGGAGTAGCTAGTCACCTATGATTCCTGATGATCGAGGAGGACTAGTCAAAAATGAATGAGGTGGACGTGCCGTGTCTTTTCAACGAGGCGCAATATGCACTGAACCGGGTAGGGCGTCATTACGTCTTTTTGAGTTTCACGTAGGTTTGGATATTTCTCATGGTTTTCTTTGTTTTGCAGGCCTCGATACTTCATCATGAAATCTTCCCCTAGTACCGTGTCGAGGTCAACCAACTCGAGCTTGAGCTCAAGGAGCAGGCTCAGAAAAGGGATACGTACAATCTCCTCAGTGAGCAACAAGATGGGGTCATTAAAGACCTTCGGGCCAAGCTGGATAGCGCTCAGAAATAAGCATCGGTCCTGAGGTGGGAGCATGCCGACTTAGCTGAAAAGGCAAAGGTCTTTGAAGTAATAAATAAGGAACTAGTCGTAGTGGCTAATGACAAAACCTCGCAGGTCCAGCAGAAGATCAACTAGATCGATCATCTCCGAAAGGAGATGGACGAGATCTAAGTCATGGCTGATGGGTGGAAGAGCAAGATGGATATGCTGGCCTCAGATAAGGAAACTCCCAGGAAAATTTGTCTTCGGTGGAGGTTTAGCTTCGGGTGGCGACGGAGAAAGCTGATAAATGGGCTCAGCTAAATGAAGATCTCCGAGCACAACTGAGCTCGGCCGCCGCTGAACGGGATGCCCTTGGTAAAGAGATCGAAGCAACGAGGTCTAAACTGGAGACAACCTCTACCAATGCTGACGAAATGGTGGCCCACTACAAGGCCGATGTCGAAGCACCCGAGGCCCTCCTGAAGACCAATGCCGAATATATGAGGCGGCTATCTCGAAGGGAGACCTTCGAAGAGATCTATGTCCGAGGCTTCGACCTGTTGTCCGAGATCAAGGAGGCTAAAATACTTGAGGCCGAGGAGAAGAAACTATCTGAGCCCAAAGGTGTGGAGGGCTCAGAAGGCCCCGATGGTTCTGGTGACGAATCGGGCTCCAATGAAGATCAGGCGTGAATGCCTCAGAATCTTTTAGTTTTTGTGTCATGTCAATATTTTTAGTTCATTTTGAGGCCGTTTTTGTTGGGCCTTTGTAAAGATATTCGAGAATATATAAAATTTCCCCTTTTGGCAATTTCAATTTTTTTAGTATCTTTTCATAATTTCTATTCTTGCGAATATTTCTCATGCATAAGCATAGAATCAAATGTAGTAATAAGTTGTTTGTTTTTTGGAGGTCCAAATACAACCTGACCTCAATGCAATTTTTACTTGTCTTTTAGGGTTAGGCACTACCTAATAGACTTTATGCTTCCGGGTTGTGATAACCAGAGTTATCCAAACTTTTTTCGGATTACAGTCTCCGAGTGGGAGTTGCCCTTGGGCTCGGATAGGGGTAGCCCTTGGGCTTGATAGTCCCCGGTTATGGATAGCCCTTAGGCTTGATGCTTTAAAAGGCAAAAGTATGTAATAACAAGGTGGAAACTTTCTTTCGTTTCTGTGTAAAGTACATGATTGAAAACGTGTAAAAGCATTTATTATGGCTAAGGTGGCCTATGCAGGCACAGTTCACTTGACCGTTTGGACCTTAACATAAATCCTAACCACCTAGTCTAGGCTGTTCGAGCACAAAGTTTCCTTCTTTCCTTGCTAAGAAGCTTGAGGATGATGGGCCCCAGTATTCGAGGTCGATCTTGAGAGGGCTCAGATACTGTTTATGCGACCATTGACTCCGATTTAAAATCGGTCTTCGAATCTAAGTTAGCACGATTTACTATTGCCTAATTTAAAACCTTGCAGAAAAACCTATTTGGGACAAAACCGGTGCAAGGGATAAAGAGTGCAACGCGTGCTTTCAGACCTAATAGTC